GCAGCTTGTCCAAGGCTAACTAAAGGCTAACTAAGGGCTTTGGCCCATAAACTTTTCCACTGAGACAGTACCTTTATTATTTTCTTTGGACTTTTTCCATTGTTTGACCCACATTTCTGAAAGCAAAGACATCTGGCATGACTGAGTGACACTACATACCCTTACATGTATACCCAGGGCTATCTTAGGTATAAATATGAAACTTAATTAATACATATCTACATTAGAAACCACAGAAGAGAGAGAGTGAATTCATAAGACGTGGGAAAAACAAGTGAGAGAAAGGAGATCTTCGTTCTGTCACTGCTTTGTCACTTTGCTATGTGACCCAGAGGATGTGGCCTGTCTGCTCTTACGTTCACATGTCCCTATACTCAGTAGAACTATGAGAACTGCATGGTATTAGAGTTTCCTCTCTACTCCAACAAGTTGTTGGTCACAGTTAGCATTGGAGGGGGCCGGATCCCCTCTCCAAAAGACCCCAAGATAGAGAAACCTGTTTATGAAGCTGCTTTCTATCTTCCCAAAAAGGGAATGTTGTTATGCCCGCAACTTTTTTAGATATTTTCTAAATAAATAAGGACAGCTGGTTATCTAGGAAGCTCCTAAAATTTTTGAATGATTGAAGTTATAAAATACCACCACCTGAAACAGTTCTTGGTAATCTCTTTATCTGAATCAATGTGTTCTCCAGGTTTGTTTTGTTTTGTTTTTCCCTAATTATTTGTAAACTCAACAGAGTCACAAAAGAATGATTCCAAAATATGGGAATCAACACCTGCTCTCACACTTTAGAGCCAACCCACTGGGCTAATTGTTTGGCAAGATACTCAGATTCTCTCATGATCTAGTCTCAATCTAATTTGCCAAACCTAGCCCCCAATCACCTGACCCATTCTCAACCCATCTGGCTATGCTTGTCCTTTCCCAACATAGGACATGAAATCCTGTGTCTATGTCTTCATTCTTGTGCTTTCTTCACCCTGAAATGTCTTGTTCCCCTCTGCACAAAGCCCCCTTTTTTTGCAGACGGACATACCTACTCTCCCATACTGGGGTGCGGTAGAGGTGGGCAAATCCCTCTGCTCTCTGGAGTAGCCCACCCTTTCCATGCCATCCCATTTACAAAGACTGCTAGCACAGACTGAGTGCTTTGTATGTGCCAAGCAAGCACCCTACTAAGAGTTGACATTTTCCCTTGCACTAACTCTGTGAAATAGACTTTTGTTTTTCAACCTTTCATGGGTGACTCAAAAAGTCTAGAAATGTTCCAAAAACTTGCCTTTGATTACTTAACCATCAAAACATAAGAGGAGGGATTTGAACCCATGCAGTCAAGTAGCAGCATCCTTTCTCTAAACTAGTGGGCCTTGCAATGGCAGGTTTAGCTGTATCTTCCCAACAAATGGTAAATTCTCTAAGGCCGGGTTCCATGTCAGCTTACTGACTGATGCAATCCCAAAATCAAGTATAATGTTAAAGAAAGTTGGCATTGAGTGAATGAGTTAAAATCTTGCTCCCATGGGAATATGCTCCCCTACCCAGTCTTTCTTTCTCTTCTAGGCCGACACCCTTACTTTGCCTCTATTCCACTTATTGTATTATTTTATGAATACCTTAGTTGTGATGAGAACTATTTTAAAAACTCACAACCTCCTTGCAGCACTGTCTGCTGCTTAGGCTTTTGCATTTGAACCAAGGTGAACTGCAGGAGGCAAGGGCTAGACCCAAGAAACACAAATACACTTCCTGCCCTCAGGGACCCTGCAGTCCAATGGGAAAACTAGGTCACACATTCACAACGCCCCTCCAGCCTCATAAGAGAAATAAACACATCCGCAAATGCATTCTACCGTGCTTAGTAATCTGCCGCTTGATGACTGATAGTCAAGAACATGGCTATGTATTTGCTCTGAGGTAATAGGCAGTGAAGTGTCCCTTGGGTAATAATATTTGTAGACATTTGATAGATTACTGAGCTAAGTATCTTACCAAATGGAGGGGAAATTTGCTAACACACAGAGTCCTTTACAGTTGTTCCTGGGCTCTTCTGGCTGAGCATCTCAGTGTCACACCTGCTATGCAATGATGTCACAGGTCCACATACCCCAGGCTTACAAGAGATGAAGGTGTGGGTTCTGGAATAAATCTGCCTGCATAACACTCTTGGCTTCACTTCTTACTGACTATGTGACAGCTAAGTGACTTGATCAAATTCCTGCCTTTAAAATGAACAGAATAATAAAGCCCACTTGGTAAACCTATGAGGAATAAATGAGGCAATATATTCAAAGGTCATAAGGTAGCATTTACTAATCATAGCATAGTATTTGGCTAATATGGTAAATGTTAAATAAATGTTAGCCATTATTGTTTCTGATCTGGAATGGACTTTCAAGACCACCTCGGTCAACTACCACTCCAGTGAAAGAATATCCCTGCCTGCATTTCCAGCTTCTGCTTGAGTATTTCATCCTTGTTGGTTCCGATTTTGACCAAGCCCTGCCTTTCATCGGACTCCTTCTTTGGAGGAGGTGAGCCGCTTGCTTTCCTGTTTCTTCCACACAGTGACCTCAGCTTTGCTCTCTGACCTACACTGACTCGATGTTACCTTGCTCCTCAACTTCATGGCATCCTTCAGCTATTTAAAGGCAGCAGCTTGTCTGATCCTTGGAGTTTCCCCAGCCCTCATCTCAAGACACAAGCCTCAGAAAAATGGTTCTGTGGCTTAACTTCCTCTCAATAGAGGATGCTAAAGCCCTGGGGGAAAGGAGAAAGGATCTTCAGAGATCTTCATCCGGCCATCTGTGAGATGCTGACACATGAAAACACCTCCAGGGCAAGGCCCCGGCTTCTCTTCTACCCCATCCGACCCCACACTTTAAGGGACATTAGGCTTTCGGTGTAAGATGTCAGGACTTCATTCACAATGATCTGGTGCTTGATGACCTATACAGACTTTCAGAGTATTTCTTCTGTCTACATTTTTGCTGCCTTACCCCTCAACTTACCTTCAAAAATTGTGGCCTTTTCCTCAGGCCCAGTTCACAGCTACCTCAGGGAGCCTTCCCAGAATCTTCTCTTTCGTAGTCTTTTTCTTACTGCCTTATATTTTAGTCTGTTCTCTCTTTGCATCTTATATGCAGGCCCAATACGTGGCTGATGAACCTGTGTCTCGTTCATTCTTGTGACTGCAGAAGGGAGGAACATGCTGGTGGGTGAAGATGAAACACCCACACTGTATCCACTACTGGACATCCCTCCAGATCCCACCCAGATCCCCTCCTCTCTGCAGATGCTTGCATCCCTCGACTGGAAATACTGGCTGCTGGTGGCTCACTGGCAATTACCCTTTAAAACAGGATCCCAAGGCCGATAACTGGCTACCATGAGAATGCAAAGGTCTGACTTGAGACAAGTCTGCAGTGCTTTCTGAGTTCCAGGACTTTCCACTGGATGGACTCGGGCTTGGTTGCAACTACATTGCATGCCAATTTCTTGTTGCCATTCCTGCTTCCTTCACCTTCATAGAGGCGGAATTCTCAAAAGCACTTTCATGCAATTCTATCCCAGAACCTGTTTCCAGGAAACTCAACTGAGGCCCTGTTTGACAGTGCATAGCACATTGCCACTGCCACACACCTGGTGCATCTTGCTTTTCTTACAAGCTTCAACAAGTGGAAATAGGACCAAGGGGATAATGATGTAAGATGTGAACTCACATGCTGCAAGGAAAGGAGCCACAGGGAGATTTCTGCCCCCACCTGAGGCTCTGGGATTGAGAGGACCTGTAGCTTCAGACCCTGTCACTTTCTTCATGACATGGGATGGAAAATAAGGGGAGGATTTGATAAGGTTTCCAGCATGTAGTCCTCAGCAGGGACTGACTACATAAACTAAAAGGGAAAAAATAGAGAAAATTAGACACACAGGAGGGAGAAAGAGAGAGGAGATGAGGAAGGGAGAAAGAGGAGGAAGAAAGAAAACAAGAAGACTGAAGGGGAGAGACAAGGGAGCCACCGGAAGAAAGGAACAGTTTGACAAAGAAGGCACATTCTTCACAAGCATGCTTTGAAAACCAGTGTTTTCTTATTTTAAGTTTATACTGCCTTTGCTTTCACAGATTCCATTTGGATTGGACTATTTTTATTTCGCTTAATTTGGTTTGTTTCCCTACTTGCTTAAATTTGAAAGATGGTCCTCTGAGGCCCATTGCTTGCCAGCAGACAGGTATAGATTCGTCTCTTTTCTGCCTGCCTCCTTTCCTGGGTTCCCCTCACTCAGATCACACCCTGGAGGGGGTGATCGTCCCATAAATGCGCATCAAGAGTGACCCAGCCAGACCAAGAAGGACTTCTTCCCTTCTTCCAATTCCCTTTTGGATGACTGTAAAGAGAAGATAAGTTTGGACTCACCTCATGATTATACATTACACAGAGCCACAGCAAAAAGAAGCACAGACTAAAAAGGCTTTGAAAAATGATGACTATGACTATTGACATCTCTCTCAGACAGGTACCAGATGGGGAATTCCCTCTTATACCAAAAGCAAAGGGGTCTAAGTTTTCTTCCCACTCCTCCAGTCCCCATTTCCCATAGGCAGCTATCCCTCTGAAAACATTCTGGTCTTTCTCTAAAACTCCATCCAGAACCCATCCCTGTCAATTACCTTCCCGCAACAAAACATATCCACTCACCCTCCCCTTCCTCCCTAGATCTCTTGAGTTCTTTCCTGAGTGGCTCTAGGACCAATGGGAGGTCTCTCTGCTCCTGCCCACTCTCCTCATCTTCCCATCACTCGTTTCTGTGGGCACAACAAAGACAAGCAGGGCAGGAAGGAGCAGGGATTATCTCAAGGAAACAGTCCCCAGACTCACTGCCCCTGGGCTCTAATTTTGCCTAGGCTGTGTTTATATTTTGTGCCAGGAACAAAATTAATGCAAACTCCACCTCCATTGTCCTTTCACCCAAGGAACTGCTGTGTCCAGTAGATGTGGTGAGTTAGAGATGAAGCGTTGGCATGGCCTGGAGAGTGGGGGAGAGGCGTGCCAAGTCCTCTTGCCAGCATCATCATGACCAGCCTTCTGCTCTGCTTCACAGTTCAAAGTGAGTTTTGACCACCAAAAGCTTGTCATTTTTAAGTCCCTCTGTGTTGCACTTAGTGGGAAATTTCCCAGACATGGGCAAATGGTCCATTGTCACCCTTAATTCCCACCTATTAATTGGCCATTGTGTCCTTTGTGTGGTTTCTGCGCATTTTGATAAGAAGTGGGGAGATGGCATATCAAAGATAGTTAGGCTGATGCTGTTTTAGACGGCCATGTTTTGACAAGGACAGTTGGTTGGCAGGCTGAAGGAGGATTCAAATGAGGAGAAACATCATAGTGGCCATCTGAAGGCCACAGCTATCATCTACCCCAGATGGGTAGAAAACGGCTTGGCAGGAAACAGTGATTAAGAGCATGCCCTTGGAGCCAGACAGACAAGGTTGACTCTGCCACTTACCAGGACTGCATCTTTAGAGAAGATTTTGTCTTCTGAAGCCATTCCCTCCCCCATTTGGCTCATGTGGAAGGTGGGGTTGGGGGAGGCAGCAATCATTTCTACCTCACAGGTTCTTATAAAAATAAATAAGACAAATATATGGAAATTTTACATTTAACTTTAAAATCTTAAGAAATCAGAGTGGCGAACAGAAAAGGGGGAAGTTGCTTCCAGGGTAAATGCCAATATTAGCACAAAACATTCAGAGCTAAATTCTGAACAGAGGAAGAACAAAACCAACTCAAGTTCCCGAATTAAGCCTAACAAAGACAGGCAGTTGCAGAACCCTTGGTCTATAACTTCCATGGGCTGCTGCAAAGACAAGGTCAAATCTTCTCTGGAGGAAAGAATCCAGAATCCAGGGACTGGGGTAGTGGCTCAGCAGAAGAACACTTGCCTAGCACGTGCGAGGCCCTGGGTTTGATCCTCAGTACTGCATATAAATAAATAAAATAAAGGTATTGTGTCCAACTATAACTAAAAAATTAAAAGGGGGGGGGGAGGAGGAGAAGGAGAAGGAGAAGGAGAAGGAGAAGGAGAAGGAGAAGGATCCAGCCCCCAGGCTTTCCACAGACTGCTGAACTGAATCAAGGATTACAAAGCACTTCCCTTTAGGGAACAAATTTCCAGTCAGCCTCTAACTCATCAGGGAGCTGGCTCAGAAGGTTCCTTTCTAATGAAAGAATCCTCTGCAAGGCAGGATGTGGCTGCTCCTGTGGCTTTGCTCATGGGAAGCCTGACTTCAGTTTCCCTTTAAATGACAACTACACTTACTAACACTTTGCTCTGGATTATTTTCTTTGGCCAATGCATTGGCTTTGCTCTGATTCAGATTATACTTTCTGTTGCTAGGTTTTTCTTGTTTTTCAGAAAGTTTGCCAGTGATTCCTGTAATTTTACTCCAGAAGACCTGGATTCAAGCATTAGGATGTACAGGAACGTCTGGTGTGACTCAGCCTTGCCTTATAGATCTGCTTATCATTAGAAAGAAGCATGACTCCACTGTAAGTATTTGAACAGGCTTCAGTTAGTACATAAACTAGAACATATACAGTCACATATAATTTATGTAACACTGATAGTCAATTTAAATCTGAATATGCCATTACCAGCAACTTTTGGGTGTTTTCTTCATGAAAACTCTATGCTCTGTTGAAGCCATAGTCCATATAGGTCAATCTCTACATGGCATCATATTCAAAATGCACAGTACAAGGGCCAAAAAAGTACAGAAGAATCTTATGCATTTGCTTTTCCAAAGGAAACAGAGATAGATCAAATTCACAGCTCTAGAACTCTTTCCCATATATCTATTTTTTGTCTACTCCACTTTGGGCCTTCTTTGTCCTTTAGAAAGTCTCACTAGCTGCCTTCACCTCCCTACTACGTGGGCTACCTCCCATCCTCCATGGCCTCAAGTTTTCTCACCTCCATCTCTCCACCTTTCCCTCTCAGTCATTCATTCTTCCATAAAATCATTCTCTTTAAAAATTTTCTTCTATTTTGTATATATGATAGCAGAATGCATTATAATTCATAGTACATATTTAGAGCACAATTTTTCATATCTCTGGTTGTACACAAAGTAGAGTCACACCATTCATGTGTTTATACATGTACTTGGGTAATGATGTTCATCTCATTCCACCAACTTTCCTACCCCAGACCCCTTCCGTCCCCTCTCACCCTTTTGTTCTATCTAGAATTCCTCTATTCTTCCCATGCTCCCCCACACAACCCCATTATGAATCAGCCTCCTTATATCAGAGAAAACATTTGGCATTTGGTTTGGGGGGATTGGTTAACTTCACTTAGCATTATATTCTCCAACTCTATCCATTTACCTGCAAATGCCATGATTTTATTCACACTGCATAGTATACCATTGTGAATATATATCACATTTTCTTTTTTTCAATATTTATTTATTTTTAGTTGTAGTTGGACACAATACCTTTATTTATTTGTTTTTATGTGGTGCTGAGGATCGATCCCAGGGCCTCGCACATGCTAGGTGAGCGTTCTACCACTGAGCCACAACTCCAGCCCACTATCACATTTTCTTTATCCATTTCATCTACTGAAGGGCATCTAGGTTGGTTCCACAGTTTAGCTATTGTGAATTGTGCTGCTATAAACATTGATGTGGCTGTGTCCCTGTAGTATGCTGTTTTTAAGACCTTTGTGTGTAGATCAAGGAGAGGGATAGTTAGGTTAAATGGTGGTTCCATTCCCAGTTTTGCAAGGAATCTCCATACTGCTTTCCATATTGGCTGCACCAATTTGCAGTCCCACCAGCAATGTGCCTTTTCCCCCACATACTCGCCAACACTTGTTGTTGTTTGTGTTCCTAATACATGCCATTCTGACTAGAGTGAGATGAAATCTTAGAGTAATTTTGATTTGCATTTTCTCTAATTGCTAGAGATGTTGAACTTTTTTTTCATACATTTGTTGATTGATTGTATATCATCTTCTGAGAAGTGTCCGTTCAATTCCTTGGCCCATTTATTGATTGGGTTATTTGTTTGTTTGTTTGTTTATGTTAAGATTTTTGAGTTCTTTATATATCGTAGAGATTAGTGCTCTATCTGATGTGTGTGTAGTAAAACTTTGCTCCCAGAATGTAGGTTCTCTATTCACCTCACTGATTGTTTTCTTTTTCTGAGAAGAAGCTTTATAGTTTAAATCCATCCTATTTATTGATTCTTGATTTTAATAAAAAGTAAAAAGTATTGTAGCTCAGTGGTAAAGTCCCCCTGGGTTCAACCCCCAGTACTGCAAGATATCAAAGATTCTTGGGGTTATGACAAAAGAAAAAAGACCAATGAAACCAATTTAGAGGAACTTCCACTGGCCAAAACTGAAACAATTCAATCATCAAAAAGCAAGTGATTGAAATATACCAAATATGCTAAAAATCCATGAATAAGTGAGGTCCTAAGCAACTTAGTGAGGCCCTGTCTCTAAATTAAAAAGGGATGGGAATGTGGCTCAATATTTAAGTGCCCATGGGTTTAATCCCCAGTACCAAAAAAACAAAACAAAACAAAACAAAATCAGAGAATACATAATTGTAATTTAAATAAAAAAGCACCAGCTAAGTATTTCAAAACCAGATAAAGGAAAAATGTCAAATATTTATCCTTGCTTTATTATGTAAACTACACTCATTCATAGTAACCAAATAATAGTTGAAGGAGAATTTTTCTTTATAGAAGAATTCTAGATAATAAAAGAAAAAAGGGATTTGGGTGCAGCAAACTGGTAGTATATGTGTTTAGCATGTAAGAGGCTTGAGTTCCATCCCCAGCACCCCTGTCTCTGCAAGAAAAGAAAAAGGAATAACACAATCCAAATATTTCCTTTATGCAACTCCTAAAGAAATAATGATAGAGACAAAAGCCATCTAAGTCTGCTAAACCTGTTAGTTGAAACATTGTGTGGAACTTTATAGTGGCTGAGACAGGCTGACACCATGTGATCTCAACCAATCAATCATGAAAAGAAGGACCAGCAGACACCAGGGTCTAAGATACAACACTAGCCATGCAATATTTGTGTCAAAAAATAAATTAAGTCAGAATTGATTATGCTAGAGAAAATACAAGTTATGAGGGAAGATCTCAAACACCACCATGATCATGCTGTCAGCAAAGCCCAAAAGGTAAAAATTCCATAAGACATGTGATTTTTTTTCCAAATAATTAAATGATAAAGGAGAAAAAGAGGGAGGAAAGACTATTAAAATTTGAGATATATACTCAAACATGATATGTGGACCTCCTTTGATTCTGATTGAATAAAATCAACTATAAAAAGACATTTGAGATAACATGAGGGATTTGATTTTAGACCAAATTAGATGCTTCTGAGGCATTCTTTTTGAAAAATTATTAGGAATTATGAAGAAGGATCGAGAAAGTATGAAGAAATTTTAGATATGGTTTGAAAAATATGTACTAAAAATTTTTTAAACAGAAAAAAAAGCAGAGGGTGGGGAAAAAAAGAGTAGAACTGTAAATATGATGACTCCATAATGGAGTTTGTTGCACAAATGAATTCCATATTTTCACATGCATGTGTTAGGAAAGTGTTCACAAAATTGGGTCTATGTTTGCAGCCACCAAAGGGAAAAAGAAAATAGGAATAGCAAGGAATTCTAGGTGTCCATACATTTAAAAAAAAAAAAAAAGATTTTCAAGTAGAGCTCCTTTCAGAGGTTGAGAACTGAGAAAAACCTCTCCTGTGGGTCTTCATTAGAGAGCCACAGTGAGGTGCTAGAAGAAGCATCTTCAACAAAACAAACCCAGGGCAGGGTACTGGTGCACACCTGTGATCCCAGGGACTTAGGAGGCTGGGACAGGAGGATCACAAATTTGAGCCGGCCATGTTAACTTAGTAAGAACCTGGCTCAAAATAAAAGGTAAAAAAGGCTTGGAATGTAGCTCAGTGGTAAATTCCCCCCTCGGTTCAATCCCCAGTACTGCAAAATAAATAAAAGGGAGGTGTCTCTTTTTAACTTGATTCACCAAATGTTCACCAAAAGTCTTTACACCATCTTCCAACAAGCAAAACTCTAAGACCCAAAATATTATTTTCTTCATCACTAAAAACACATAGATTGAAGTCTGTATTTCATTATATGTGCCAGTCTCTGCACTTAGATCTCTATTAGGAAATGCTGGTGTTCTATAACCATATGATCATGCAAAAATGATGAGTGTCATGAGCAAAAGAAAGAAAGTCTGTGGAAGTATAGAGAAGAGCTCCAATTCAAATTTTCAGGACAAGTTAGGGTATTTTTCTGAAGAGTGGCATCAGCATAAGAAGGATTTTGCCGTGCCAGGGAATCACTCCACATGAAAGGAGAGGTGAAGACACAGAGGTGGTCTGCACATCCTTCTATGGTACTTAGTGAGTTGCATTAATAGGTGTGTCCAAGTTCCTATCAATTAGAAAAGTTACATATGGACTTGGATAGCTTCCCACAGAGGTAGTGACATTCAGAGGGTTAAAGAACCTTTTATGACTATTCCCTCCCAAGTAAAACTAAGAGATTAATCAAGAAGTCAGTAGCAGGGGCATAAGTTTGTTTGGGACTATTTGTCTCACTCTTGACACTCTGTGTTGACTTTCAGAAATTATATAGACTCCTGAGAGTTGGGTCTGTATAGATTATAGCTAATCAACTTATGATGGTCAACATACAATTTTTCAACTTCACCATGATGTGAAAACAATATGCATTCATAGAAACCATATTTCCAATGTTCAATTTCAATCATTCCTCAGACCAGCAATATGTAGTAGGATGCTCTCTGTCCTAATGCAGCTCCCAGGCAGTCACACCTTCACAAAGGTAGACAACTGATATTCCATAGTGCACAGTGTTGCTAAGCCATGAGGTTAGGTGAGATGTATTAATGCATTTTTAACTTGTGACATCTTCAGTTTATGGTGAACTTCCTGTGATCTAACCCCACTGTAAGTCAAGGAGCATCTGTACTTTGTTTACATGTGTGTTATTTGACTATTTAAATGCCATGTATGTCTCTCCCTCTCTCTCTCTCTCTCTCTCTGTCTGTCTCTGTCTCTTTCTTCATACATACATACATACATACACACACACACACACGTAAATGTGTGTGTGTGTGAAGTATAATATTCATGTAAGCATACAGGTTTATGTATACATCCATAGTGCTATTCCAATAGGACTATTTTCAGTGTTTAGAGAAGGATTTAATATGAGCTCAGCACTAACACATAAATGGTATAATCTACAATGAGAGTATCTCTTCAAGTCAACCTTGGACCTTCTCCAAGTAGCCAGAGACATTTGGCCACTCAATGCTCTGGAGAACTGCTAAAATTAGCTAGAGGAAAAAAAAGACACAAATATCTTAAGGATAGCCAGGAGCTGAGTCCAATAAAGTGAATGTCAGAAAACTGTAAGCTTCAGGCTAAAAAGGGCTTCCAAATCTGTTTAACTTCCAACTGGTGTGTGAATTTCCTGTACAATACTAAATTTGTTAACTATTGCTACATAAAAAATAATTTTAAAATGTGTTGGTTTAATTCAACCAAAAACAAAACCAAAAAGATACCTGTTAGTGTCTCACATAGTTTTGTGGGTCAGGAATTAACAAATGGCTTGGCTGAGTCATTCTGGCTCAGGGACCCCTGTGAGACTGCAGTCAAGATGCTGACCAGAGCCACAATACTCTGAGGGTCGGAGAATCTATTTCCAGCACATTCCTTTCACATAGTTAGCTGTGTGAAAGACCTCAGCTTTTAGTCACATGAACCCATCCTTAAGGGTGCTAGAGAATTATCCTGACATGATGGCTGGTTCTCCCAGAAGCAGTGAGGTAGAAGAGAATGAAGCAGAAGCCACAATGTATTTAGTGACTAGTAATGGAAGTCACACTGTCATTTCCACAGTATCCTATTGGTCATAAAGATCAGCTCTGTTTATAGTGGAGGACTGCACAGGGCTTGAATACCCAAAACAAGGCAAGGATCATGGTGCCATCTTGGAGTCTGGTATACCCACCAGGGGCAGTCCACCTCGATAGCCTGTAGTGATGGATGCTTACTTCACAAGGCAACCTCTGATAGAAACCTCTCTTTCTTCAAATTATAAATACAATCCCTTCTTTTTAGTTTTTCTATTTCAAGGGTCACAAAAATTCTAATCTTTTTTCTGAAAAAAAATTAAAAATCAGTCCTTAATTTTGATCCTTCTAGTTTCAAGAATAGAAGCTTAGAAAGCCCATCCTTACCCCCAGTTCCTTCAGCCCTTTGTAGAGCTTTAGGACAAGATTAATTATTATACTAAAATATTAATTTAAAAACAGGTAGGGGCACTTATCCCCACCCCAGCTGTCCCAGCAATTATCTCAGAATACACTTCTTTCCTTACATAGATCAGCTACCCTGGACATAGTAGCCAGGTGCCATTTCATAGACTACCAAAACCAAGCTTATTTTTTTTTTTTATCAGAAGCCAAGACTTTCTTTTTAAAGACCAAATAAGTCCCATACAAGTGTTACATGGAAGCAAAGGAGGGAAAAGAGAGCCCTTATCCTCCAAGGATTCTTGTCAACTTACTTTCCTTCTTTACTTTTTGAAATTGGCTTTCAGGACAATACACTCTCTTGGTTTTCCTTCTACCTTGCTTTGCTGGACTTACCACTTCTTCCAGCTTATAAATGTTAAGCATCCCAGGGTTACAATATCAGGCTTCTACCACCCCTTACTCCAATCCTTATGTTGTCTCATTCAGTTCTATTGTTTAATACTGGCTTCTACATATAAACCCCCAACCTAACCTTTCTCCCAAGCTTCAGGCTTTTGTACCACCTGTCTGCTGGACATGTGCACTTGGATATGTTAAGAGACATCTCAAAGTTATCACACACACATAAAACTATTCTAAACTCCATCCTCCACTGCCGGCTGAAACCAAACCCTGGAGTCATCTTGAACTTCTGTTTCCCTCATCCCCCACAACCAAACATGACTTCAAAATACACCCTGATAACAAATCCTACTACTTTGTATAACTACAAGGCACCAATTAAAAAAAAAAAATCTGGAGAACAAATTTAATTTTTTTTAATACACTCCGAAGTGGTCAGTTTTCACAATCTCTATCATTTCACCAGTTCAAAGCTATTCTCATTTTGTTTTTGGGGGGTGGGCAGGACTTTCGCAATAGTTTTCTATTTTACCTAGATTTTACCCTAGATTCAACTTTCTACCTGCTACCAGAATGAGAGCTTCAAAACATTCTGTATTTCCATCACCCTCTGAATAAAATCCAACATTCTCACCATATGTATAAATTCCCACTCATCTCTCCATCTCATCTTCTACTCAGCTTTCCTCTCTGTGCTTTTACCATGTGGACCTTCCTGTTCCTCAAATGTGGCAAGCTCCTTCCACCTCAACACTTTCCTCCTGGCAGTTCCTTTTACCTCCTTCCTGTGACTTGCCCTTGTTACTTCATTTGCATATCTGCATGTCACCTCAGACCATCCTGTTACCTTCTATTTCTTTTGTGTGTGTGTGTGTGTGTCTTTTTTTTTTAATGTGAAAACAAAAGCCACTTCCATATTTGTTTAAACTACTGTAAGCTCACAGCTGAATGAATTCCCAACTGATAAAGGCCTCTTGGTGTTTTACAATATTTTTCTTTTTTTTTTTAATTTTTTATTGTTGGTTGTTCAAAACATTACATAGTTCTTGATATATCATATTTCACACTTTGATTCAAGTGGGTTATGAACTCCCATTTTTACCCCATATACAGATCGCAGAATCACATCAGTTACACATCCATTGATTTACATGTTGCCATACTAGTGTCTGTTGTGTTCTGCTGCCTTTCCTATCCTCTACTATCCCCCTCCCCTCCCCCCCCTCCCCTCCCCTCTTCTCTCTCTACCCCCTCTACTGTCATTCATTTGTCCCCCTTGTATTATTTTTCCCTTTCCCCTCACTTCCTCTTGTATGTACTATTGTATAACCCTGAGGGTCTCCTTCCATTTCCATGCAATTTCCCTTCTCTCTCCCTTTCCCTCCCACCTCTCATCCCTGTTTAATGTTAATCTTCTTCTCATGCTCTTCGACCCTACTCTGTTCTTAGTTACTCTCCTTATATCAAAGAAGACATTTGGTACCTTCTATTTCTTTATTCCTTTGCTTTGTAGCCTTCTCACTAATTAGCAGTAGATTGCAGCAGTCATTTGCCTATGTGTTTATTATATTTGTTCAATTTCATGCATTTTTTAACCGGTAACAATGTCCGGCACTCAGTAATATCCGATAAATAAAAGAATGAAGCATCCATGGAAATGAACTTCCCTGTCCTGTTTTCAGAGTAGGACTTGGTATATGAGTTAATGATATTGTCAAAGGTACCTTCTCTGAGAACCATCTGTTAGTCCCCTGAGCACCTCCCAACTGTATAGCAGCAAACTATTCAGCCTGAATTTCTTTCTGTTCGGATTTCTCACCTCAGCAGAGTTAGGCAGAACTGAGTTTCCTGCTGGTAATGAAAGCCCTTTCCGCAGGAGACTTCTTTGTAACTGAGTGGTGTGGCCTCCTAACCCACTCTGTGGAATTTGAGCAGGCTGTCATGGTGAAACTCAAGCTGGTTTGGGGGACATTTATTTGCTTGTAAGGAAGGAGGAAGATTATACACATGATAATGTTTTTTTTATAACTGTTGTGAGACACAAGGGGGCAGCAAAATCAGGTCTTACTTTAAAGGTGAAATGGGAATTTTAATAACTACAATTAGACGTTCAATAGATGGGACAAATTTCAGTACATCCCTACACTGAGTATTAGGAAGTAATGAAAATGAATAACTGTAGCGACAAACAACAACATGGATAAAGTCTCCAAACAAGCTAAGCAAATGTAATGTTGAGTGGAAAAAGCAAGACACGTGGTTTGATTCCATGAACGTAATATTCAAAACAGGAAAAATGAGTATATTGTTTAGATTGTGTTTGTAGATGGTCAGACTATAAAGAAAAACAAGGAAATGGTAGCCCCAAGGTGACCCTTGTGAGGATAAAGCAGCTTGGGGTCAGCAGGGTACACGTGAGGCTTAAGGGGCCCAGCGTATCCTATTCTTTTACATTTACAGAAATTACACAGGTGCTTGGTTTGATATTTATGTGTTAAATTGAACATTAATGGTTTGTGTCCTTTTTGGTACATATATCTATATTTAACAATACAGGGTTTTAAGGAAAGGAAATGGAAAGAAAGAGATGAAGAAAATGGGAAAGAAAGAGATTAGGCATTGAGAAAAATGGGAGGAATAGGTAGAAAAATAGCTTCAGACATAAAGGGGAAAAGAGAAGCTTGGAGTCAGATGAGAAGAGACATCCTGATGAGGGAAGAAAAAGGAAGAGGAGGGGAGAAGAGAAGAAAGAAAGAAGCAGGAAAGACCCAGAGAGCAGGAAGGAGAGGGAAATAAAGAAAAAGAGGAAATGAAAGGTGAAGGGAGAAAGAGGAAAAGGAGTGCAGGGGGAAAAAACAACAGTTATAGACAGTGTCCAAGAGGCATCATCAAACAAACATATAGGACCAAGACGACTTATTTGGCCAGGCTAGACAGGTTGGGCAGAATGGGGACTCAGTCCTGTAGTGGACTACAATTAGAAAATAATGGTGTTAGAGTAAGATTTCCAGGTCGTCTGAGCCTTTCAGTGTCAGCAAAGAGTTCTTCACCTGCAGATCTGTAATAGAGAGACAGGGCTATGAAAGGCAAGGGCAGGGGCAGAGCCACAACAAGAGGATGACCAATTCTTAGCCAGCATCAAAAGGATGAATTCAGGATTACACAACTTTCCACCATGTTTGGAGGTTTTTAGGTGAACTCTACCAGCACACTCATGCATGGTCTGTTTCCAGTTTTAGTGTATAATTTCCTCTCCCTCCTTCCCACTTCTACACCTCTGCTTTCTTTGCAGGAGTCCTGGGCCTACAGGATATGCTGGACACAGTGCTAATGTCCTCGAGACACTAGAAGTATCCCTAATGGAGACAATGAAACTGGTTAGCCCATTCTCCATCTATTTCTCAGAGAAGGAGGTTTATTCAAAACTCTGTTGTGAACAGGTGCATGGACCCATGAAGCAGGAACTTTAGCTGTTCTTCTCAGTACCTTGTTGGTACACACTTTCTCACCAATAACCAGTTCTATGGTTTAGAAAAACCGCAAATGCTACCAGGAGTTTGGGTCCTAAAATAAAGAATAAATATTTTTGAAAATGCTGTTTTTATTTCTTCTCTAACTCCGCCTTCTTCACTTGGTCAAACGGTGCCTTCCCCAGAGGAAGCACAACTCTGGAGACATGAATATGACTTGTTTGGAGAGGCCTTTGTTCTGGAGGAATCCAATAATAATTCTAGGTAAAACTCAAACCTTAGATTGAGTGGTAAGAACAGATGTTATCAGAGAGAGAGCCTTCGTGTGCTCCCTGTGGCCACTAGGAGCCTTGCCAGTGGGTGAGCCAGAGGTGGACACACTTCCTGGGTGGAGAGTAAGGCTTCTATAAAAAGCTTACACTCGGCTTCCATGCCTTTGGGCCTGCGCACTGGAGGCAGGCGCACTGGAGGCAGGCATTCTGCCGAGGCATCTTAGTGAAGATGTGCTTTGGCCTGGGTTTTCGTCTTCTTTCCCCCAACCTTCATGAAAACATTCAAAAAAGAGTACAAATATTGAGAAATCATCTGTAATAACATCTATAAAAGGGAATAGTGTCATGAATGAATCAGAAATGTGAAGGTATCTTTTTGGGGAAAAGATGGGATGATTCTACAAAAAGCCTTAACTGCCCTGTCAAATGTGAAAAGGGCCTGAGAGAAAAATAAGATTAAGACCTAGCCAGAACCTCAGAGCCACTAAACTAGAGCTGGAGGCCTGGAAATCAGTGAAGGCCTTGGGCAGATGGAGGTATCTGGTCTAGAAAGAAAGTCGTGGTAAAAACAACAATCACTGTAAGCACACTTACAAAATGATGTGAGCCTGCAAAATAATTCTTGAAATGTAAGGTACATGATGCAAAAAAAATTTAATAATTTATATCTCTTAATGTTATGAGATGAGCTTTATTGAATAACTGCTATGTACAAGCACTATGTTAAGTGCTTTATATGCATTATCTCACTAAGTACTAATATAGTACCTATATGGTAAATACCATAGCTATATCCGTTTAAAGGATGAAGAAACAAAGACTCAAAGAGAATGTAACTAAAACCACACAGGACCAAAATGTTAGCCAAGCTGCTCTGACTTTGGAATCTATGCTTTCTTCATAATGACAAAATGCTTCCTCTCCTATAATTCCAACAACAACAACAAAAACTTTAGGGAGTCATTGGGAAAGACAGAGAGGTGTAGGCATAGTTTCTAAATGACTCTGAGTTGAATGAACTTGTGATGTTCCCACAGGAAATGGGAAGTGTGGTTGGATTAGGGCTCAGATCCTTTAAAGTCCCTTCTTGCTAGAGTAATCTGTGAAGCTGATGCCCTGGGGACTCTTTCGGGACGGATATTTTTATTTGTATTCATTTGTTTTAAAGTTCACACTTGATGGTGAACAAGAAAGTGGTAACAGATCCTAACAACAACTATTTCAATTCTCACTTTAGTAATTTTCCATTCTGGGTCCTTCAAGGATAGGAAGCAAAAACAGTCGGGACAGTGCCCTTAGAAAGCATTATCCCTGATATCCCATAGTTCCATTCCCTCCCATGGAAACTCCATGTGTGTCAGTCAAACGGAAGGTGGAGGGGAGCGAAGCAAGTGAGGTGACAAAGAGCCCTCACCAGGTCTCCAATGCAGGATGCATATAGTCATTGGATGCTCCAAACCAATCCTGTCGTGCACACGCATGTGCGGGGATTGGAAGCCACTGAAGACTCAGAGCACTTGGGAACAAGCCAAAACTTTTAGAAGCAGCAAGCAACTACAGGCTCCTGCTTTTCAGTCATAAGTCCAGAAAACCCCCTTGTACTTCATCCACACCTCACCTTACACACCTATTAATTCCACAGAGCAGGATTTTTTTCCTACACAAAGACATTTTGAATTCAAAGCCTAGGATCTACCAACCAGATTTAATGTAAGCTCCAAGAGATCTTTGCTGCTCTTCCCTCAGTCTCCACTGTCAAAGCAAACCCATTCTTCGGGGTATAGCTCAAAAGCCACCTTCTCCTAGAAGCTCTCCTGATTCTCCCAGCCATAATTTCTCTCTTATTTCTGACCCCAAGGGTCACATCATGGTTTTCTCTTGCCACCTTTATTGACAGGGGTAGCCATGCAGCACAACACAATGCCAGAAACAATCACAGAGTCTCTTAGGAAAAGCGCTGGATGCTGGCTAAACCCAACTGTGTTACTCACAGGGCCCCAGACCTCATCACGGTGACCATCCTCATCGACTCACATTAGCAATCCCTGGCTTGTTAATGTGGCCCCAACCACGAATCAGATATCTCAGAAAGACCACCTCTGCTGAGATGTGGGTCACATAGAAGAGTATCCATCCAGAACACAGCTGCCTCTCAGCTCAGCTATGCATGCATTCTGAACAGAGGACTGTCACTGGCCACATGTGAAGCCCATTCTGTAGAAGGAGGTGCAAGCCAGGATATCCAGGGATTATTGCAGAGTGTATGCAGACAGCCTCAACTCTTATTATTGCCTTTATAAAGCCAAGCTAAATGGTTCTTAGAGGCTGCCCTCTCAATACCAGGACCAGGGTGTCTATAGGACCATGGCAACTGCCATCTCATAGAATTCACCATTATCATGACTGCTCAGGGGGATGTCCTTTGCATATGTTCAGAAGAGAGCAGGGCTTCGAGGAAAAGCTCCATATGGACTCTGTCTTCGTGCAGCCCCCACTCTGGATGCTCCTCAACATGACCCTCTCCCTGGGACCAGGGTCTTAAGTATTTTTGTCTTTCTCAGCCTTGTGAGTCTAGTAGCCAAGGTTATGCCCCTCTACACCAGGACCTCTTAACACTGCTCAGAAAGGAGGGTCCATAAGGAAAGCCCCCAGCGCAGGAAAAAGTCCCAGCTTCAATAAACCAAAAACAGGGAGGGAGCAGTGAAATGAGGCTTTCCTGTCCACCAGGGATAGGGAGTGGAGGGGAAGCACAAGAGGGGAGAAAATAAGAAAGAGACAGAGGAGGAAAGTGAATAGAAAGGAAGGAAGGAGCCATAATAGTGATAAAAGGGCAAAAAGAAGGGATGGAGGTAGAGGAAGAGGAGGAGGAAAAAGAGGGAGACTCAATGAAGCGGAGAGGGTGATAAAAAGATGGGGGAGAAAACAAAGAACAGAGTCAGAAACAAGAATTGGAAGAAACAGGGGAGAAAGAACCAAAGGAAGGAAAAAGAAAGTCTGGGCAAGAACCATCAAAGAACAGGCAACACCGAGAAAGAAACTAAGGGAAGCAGAGGTGAGGAAGCTGAGAATCCTAAGGAAAGGAGAGACAGAGGCAAGAGGAAGGGGGAGTGAGATCAGACAGAGAGAGAGAATGAAGAAAGGAGAGAAAGAGAAGAGAGGGTCTCAGAATGCCAGAAAGATCTAAAGGGGAAGAAATGAAGAGAGATAAGAGGGTGGAGAGTGAAACATGGGGGGAGGGAGCTCAGAATGTGGAGGCAAGAGGCCAATAAGACAGACACAGGCACCCAGAGAAGGAATTGAGAGGAAGGAACGGCGCAGCTAAGAGGAAGTGTGTGAGGAAGCAGAAAGCGGAATGGACATTAAAAACCAAAAAGAGAGAAGCCAAGCTGGGTCAGAAGGAGGACACAGGGGCGTTGCCACTGAGAGCATGTCTGAGCCTGAGTTCTTCTCAACTGTAAAACAAACTGCTTTCTTCATTAATTTTTATGACCATTACATACCAGAATGTACATAAAGCACCTGAAATACCATTAGTCACTTAATGATTCTTTTAAGTTTGTGAATTGCAGTTCTGATGCCAACTATGAAGTAATTTTCAGGAAAACAAGGACTCATTTTACTCACCTTTGTATACCCGCCACCTAACACCCACCCCTCTGGGTAGCCTATGTCTGATGTCAAATGAACTGAACAAAGGGAAAGGAAGATACAGAACTCTTAGAAGCAAAGAAGATAAACACGAGAAGAAAAATGGAGATGAGAGAAATAATTTATTATTATTATTATTATGATGATGATGATGATGATGATGAACGACTAGGACCAATGTAGAGAAAAGAGAAAGAGAAGCTAAAAACTTCCCCCGTGGCAACACCAGGCAGCTCAGGTAGGACGCTAGGCTCAGCAGTGTGGACCCACATCCTTGGCTCTCACAGGATGTAGAGCCACCAGACTGACACATCCAGCTGAGACCTGGAGCAGCAATGAATGGTGGGACAGGAGGCAACTCTGAGGAGGATCACAGGAATGTTTAAGGACTGAAGAGCTCGTGACTATCTGTCACCTTCTGGGGTTAAAGAAAAACAAAAGCAAAAAAAAAAAAAAAAAAAAAAACCCTGAGCCCAGCCTGATTTCTTCAAGCTCCATCTAATTTCAGCACATCATTCCTGGATGATGAGCTTAGCCTGGAGCAGCCAGCCCATCATGCTGCTGAGGCACTAGACCTCAGAACTTCATCAGACGGTGAAATTACAAAGCTAGGGAGGTTTTGGAAATCATCTCACTGGTAACAAAGGTTTGCCTAAAGGGGCACTACAAGTAGAATTGACTAATGAATGAATCAACCAAGCAGTTCTCTTACCTGTCTGCCCCCACACAGGGACATCATCTTTTCTCAAGAGATCTCTAATGAATTAAAAACTGGGGGCTTGATACCAGAATCTATTCCTTGTATTGAGTATATGTCTGGCTAAACTAGCTCATTAGAAGCAGTAAACATGGGAAATAGCAAGAAGTTTGACTCAGTGACATCAAATGTAAAGGGACTAGTCTGAGTTGTTGGGGCAAAGGCAAGGCTCGGGCCTAGGAACCAAAGTTTGAGGATTTGGCAGTTGAAAAAAGATGCAAGGCACAGTGGGAATACTGGTCATCCTTTATTCAGAGGTAGCCACAGTCCTTAGCCAGCCCCTTGAGCCATTTTCATAGTCTCTTTTTATGTACAGTTCAAACAATGACGACACACTGCCAACAGGTTACATAAGGGGCTGCGTGCCCACAAGTTATAGTTTATAACATGCTGAATC